ATAGATAGATAGATAGATAGATAGATAGATAGATATAGATATAGATAGATAGATAGATAGATAGAGAGAGAGATAGAGAGATGTATGTATGTATGTATGTATGTATGTATGTATGTATGTATGTATGTATGTATGTATGTATGTATGTATGTATGTATGTATGTATGTATGTATGTATGTATGTATGTATGTATGTATGTATGTATGTATGTATGTATGTATGTATGTATGTATGTATGTATGTATGTATGTATGTATTGAAACGGTTGGCTTGAGACTCGATCGCTGTGATGTCGTACGGTTGCATGGTGACCTGTGCTGAGTCCTACATGACCATGAGCCACATGGTGTACCATACCGTGGTAAGGTTGAGAGTGTTCCTTGTATAATCTTGACCGTGCCTGTCGACAGCAAAGTATTCAGTTTGCAAAAGGGTCGCCGTCATATTCAAGATTGTTTCGGAAGATTACTATACTGGCCTTCGTTGAGTAGCCTATCTCTGTACTATGGTCTGAGCCCAATACAACAAGTGAATGCTATCAGAAACTCGCCGTAGCAAACGAACCACTGCAACACCCGTCTTCAGACTCAGAGTTGCAAGCGACCGGTCCAATGATACATATGCACTTGTTTTAGTAGTGCATGATGCTGTAAAACACGCATTGGCCAATCACAAGACATAAAAACTTAGTTTGACAACAACATCCTGTCCCATCCTACCGACAGAGGCTGGCAGGTATCCAGGCCGTTACCTTGGATGATTTGCGCCGAGTGGCCAGGACTCACTTATCGGGCATACTGGATGCCAAACAGGTCAATATGGTGGCTACCGTGAACCCATCGAAGGCTGAGGTATGTTTATGTGTACTGGTGTGTGTGTTCCCTTTGAGATTAGATATGTATGTAAACGTTTATAGTACCCGTTTTAAACGTGTATAGTACCCGTTTGTGATCACCCGTGAAATGACGTGTCACAATACTGTTAATACGTGTGACGACGGATCCCCATGGATTGCAAAATACAGCCTGTGTACGCATAACTTTAACATGTCGTCACGCAAATGTGCGTATACGCACATGCTTCAAATCTCATGGATTGAATGGTATAGCCTATTCACGTATCATTCGTACATGTTTGTACTCTTGTGATGTACAAGCGTACTCTGAGGATCGTTCCTGGTGAATGTCTCTGGTCTATAGTTGAACCCGCGCACAATTGCTCCATCATGCATGTCTCAAGAGTATGTTAATACAACACAACTGGAATTTTTTTCTTTTCGGTTTGGAAATACGGGTGGTCGTCTAAAGTATGCTTTTATCATCTATTGATTAGTATGGCAAATGCCGAACATTTAACATCCGCTTATTAATTGTTTTATAAACCTAGATAGGCACGTGTGCGCTTATGGGTGTGGCTGTTTGAAATTGTGGATGTGTGCTAGCGTGTTTGTATGCTTAAGCATTTATTGAATATTGCCCATCAGACGGTCATTGTGGAGTATTTGCCATTTATAGGTAGCGTCTTATGTACCTTGGGAAATCAGTATGGTGCAAGTCAAGTTTTGCCTGGCATGCGAAATTATCGATCTGTATGTAGACTTGCACACATATTATAGCAGTACAGGTTTACGTTCTTGTATATGATCGCAACTCTTACACAATGGTTGACCACTGCGTATCTGTAGGGCCATACAAATATACAATATGCACTGCAGTGTTAATACACGTGTGTACTATAGCGTCAGTACCACATGTGTGTACTGTTGTGTTAATACCACATGTGTGTACTATAGCGTTAGTACCACATGTGTGTACTATAGCGTTAGTACCACATGTGTGTACTATAACGTTAGTACCATATGTGTGTACTGTAGTGATAATACCACGTGTGTACTATAGCGTTAGTACCATATGTGTGTACTATAGCGTTAGTACCATATGTGTGTACTGTAGTGATAATACCACATGTGTGTACTGTAGTGATAATACCACGTGTATACTATAGCGTTAGTACCATATGTGTGTACTGTAGTGATAATACCACGTGTGTACTATATCGTTAGTAAATATACAACATGGTATGAGTGATCCTCACTAGTGCATACCCGCAACACCGCACCTTCTGTATCCGATTTTTGAGTATGTCAAAGTAGTGTTACAATTGCTTGTTACAACATGGAGATTCATTGCGATACCCTAAACCCTAAAACCATTGTCACAGCTCTTGAAGGAAGGACTCTCCGCGCACGGATACACATTGCAACCGGTAGAGGACATCGAAGGCTTCTTCGCGCAATAGCGTTAAACTACCGAACATCTTACAGATGTGAAATTAGCAATACAACAACATAGCATTGTCCTCGAATTGGATCGTAAGAGAAGAATTGGCAGCATATGCGGGTAGTGACAAGTGCAGCGAACCATACAGTCGGCGTGGCTCCATGTATATATTTATTTTATACGATTATTATTTTGTGATATTGATGATTCATAAATACATATAGTTTGTGTAGGTGTGTGTTTACTTTTTTGTGTCAAAATCTCAATTCTCTCTCTAACAACCGGGCCCTCGACACCCGACAGAATCATCACACACGTGTATATACAGTATGCGCGTATATAAGGCCCATATACAGTATGTGCGTATATAAGGCCCGTATACATTATATGCGTATATATGGCCCATATACAGTATGTGCGTATATAAGGCCCATATACAGTATATGCGTGTATATGGCCCATATACAGTAGCGCGTATACAAGGCTCATATACAGTATGTGCGTATATATGGCCTGTGCTAGCCTCGCCTAATATGCATTTTACATATGTATGCTTCTATCGTACTACACTCCATACCAGCTAATTGCAAGGAAGATGGCCTCGCCGAATATGCATTTACATATGTGTGCTTCTATCGTACTACACTCCAAACCAGCTAATTGCAAGGACGAGGCACAAATCACTGATATCTTTTAAATTCTCAACACCCGGCTATGCGTAATAACGGACCTAATTTGTCTTTTACTTAAATGTCTATGAAGGTCATACTGGCTCCTTTGCTTCATTTGCTTGATGATAACTGAATGGTTACAAATTCATTAATAAGTTTCTATTCCCCTTTTAAAATGAAGTCATGTGTAGTATATGCAGTCTACTATTGCGTGGATGGATGTACTTTTCGATTCTATGCCATATATATGTTTCAATTTCGAAAATTTAATGCATATTGTTCTCAATTGAAACTTCAGAGTGATGATAGGATAGAGACATATAGATGATGTAAGTGAAGCGTCAGAAACCAAACCATATAAAAAAATTGAATGGGGGTGCTGTCTGCACCTTCAAAAACGAGTATACCCCACTTGTAGGCGACAATTTCCAAAATCGAGGCTGCCAAGTATCGGCTTGGTTACTGAGATGCGTAGTGGGTTCGTTGCTCTGAGTAAGGATACTCTATCACCATGGCAGTAACACTATCTAACTGTCTGTTATCATCGCCACTTTGACATCAACGCTGCAGCACCAACTCGGGGTTTCTATGTGATGGATTACCATCTGCACGGCGTGTGAGACAGCGTCTTCGCACCTTGAAGAGGTAAAGCTGTACCCCACACTTACATGGTGCAGTTTGAGAAGGACGTCACCATGTTCTAGAAGAAAGGGATTACCCCCACCTAGTTGTTCTTGGGCTTGCCGTTTACTGTCGTGACTATACCCTACTGTTCTTAGGCTTGCCGTTTATTGTCGTGCATATACCCTGACTGTTCTTAGGCTTGCCATTTACTGTCGAGCATATACCCTTACTGTTCTTGGGCTTACCGCTTACTGTCGTGTCTATACCCTTACTGTTCTTGGGCTTGCCGCTTACTGTCGTGCATATACCCTTATTGTTCTTGGGCTTACCGCTTACGGTCGTGCCTATATCCTTACTGTTCTTGGGCTTGCCGCTTATGGTCGTGCCTATACCCTTACTGTTCTTGGGCTTACCGCAAACGGTCGTGCCTACACCCTTACTGTTCTTGGGCTTGCCGCTTACGGTCGTGCCTATACCCTTACCAACGCCACCTGCACTGACTGTTGGATGTAACTGGTGTTCAGGCCCGCTTTGTGAACGGTTAGATCATCCACAGCGAAACGTATAGTAGTCTGACCTTGGATATTGTGACTGGAGTCATGTCATGACCCTTGCCAAGGGTTGAGAATGAATTGCACACGACAGGGTAGAGACGTTAGTTTGAAGACGGACTTCGCTAGGATATCTGTCTGCGAGGCTCCATAGTGTGATGTGATCTGTGGGTATGGTTGCTGCCTGCCGGCGTTTTTTACCAGAACGTAGTGCCTGGCAACAGGCATCTGTGATGCTGTTATTATGTCACATTTATCACGTACTACTGTTATATCTGTCCTGAAATTGTAGATTACAATTTAAACACGAGAAAAAAATATGAGCGTAACAGACCTAGCTTCCTTGCTTCGTTTGTATCAACTTTATGTTGACATACTGACTTACATTAGCACCATCGGCGAGTAGGAATCATGAACCCAAGTTCACTCTCCCTGACATTCAGCTACAAAATCTATGAATGAGACCTTGTGCCCGTCACAGCTTCCCATTTTCCCAATAAAAGAGTAGTGGGTTCAAATAATGCATAGTACTGTAATTATATTCACGGGATACCTGAGTTAATACTTTAACTATGCTTGGTGTTTGTGTGTAAAATTCATAGGTTCGCGCGTGCAGTATATTCAGATAACATTTATTTTTTCTTGTGGCATACCGCAGTTAAAATTATCCCAATTGTAGCCAGTGTAAGACGTAGATCGTTGATTTTGCATAAATGTTGCACCAGGAAAATCCTCACTGACTATCGTAACGTCTCTTCGTATATACTGACACATACAAATAAAGAACGTACATACGTTATGTGTACTGATTTGAGTAATGAAGAACGTACATACGTTATGTGTACTGATTTGAGTAATGAAGAACGTACATACGTTATGTGTACTGATTTGGGTAATGAAGAACGTACATACGATATGTATTCTGATTTGAGTATATAGCTGGAGATATACATCATCCCAAGACACAACTTAAAGTTTGCTTTTGACATGATCCAACATCTTCTGCATAACGACTGACCCAGGCGCATCATCATTAATCACAGAGATTCCAAAGGCATGGTACTGGCCTGTGGCGACTGAGAGTTCAGTTGGTACGCCTGACTCCTTTAATTTAGCCGCGTACGCTTCACCTGAAGGTGAAATGAAAATGATATATTTGATTGTAAATATAGTATGTATCATACAATTATATATATTTATATATCCTTATATATATATATCCATATATATATATATATAATACATATATATATAATACACACACACACATATATATATATACATACATACATATATATATATATAATACACACACACACACACA